ATACAGAGCTTCCACTCCAGCTGAAAACCATTAAGTAACAATCCAAATCTGGCAGGGCTTATGAAAAGCCCACGTGTGCAATTCAATTTGTGCATATGTTCTGGCATTTTCCAGTTGATTGGCATCTGAAACAATAAGCCTTTTTTCTTGTTTTCTCTGTATATTTATTCCAAAACATTTACTAACTAACAGTCTGGACTTTGTCATCCAAAAATATGCTGATGAAGATGTGTTAGTGTGAGTCATTATTGGCTGCGGTCCTCTCTTATGTTTGCTGCTATTGGGGCCTCATATAATACATTATTATTTTAGTATGGCCACACTTAATGCATATTAAAAAACCACTACACATAGATGTGCATGGAGGGGGACTGTCAGTACAATGCATCCACCAGCATTCTAGCTGTAGTACCAGTCAGTAGTTTTGCCCCACGACGGCTTTTAAAAGACTCCCGATGTCCCAGCGTCAGCCTCCCGTTGTTGAGGATGGAGAGGTCCACATTCAATAGGCAAAAAAGAAGTAATCAGTGGGGAGGATGCGGCACAGTAGATGTAGTTTTTTGTCCCCCCCGGGTGCAGCCATGGGTAATCTAGCGTGCTTCTTCTTACAGCCTACTTTATTCTACCACAGTATGTGGACCAGATGTGCCACTCTTTTGCTTTAAATTGTCAAATTTACATAGAAGGATTCAATTTGTGCACATTTTGCTCAGAATGAAAGTCGCACTGGATGCTGTTTCATTGGCTCTAAAAGGGAGTTTAAATCACTGTCCTACTTTTTGCTTCTGAGGAAAGAGGGAACTGCTGGTGTTTGGTGCATGTGCTGTGCTGTGCTGCAGCTGATACGGAGATAATAAAAATACACCTGAAAGCCGGCAGGTTCACTGTGTTCGATGATGAATATATAAGTCCACCAAGAGTATGTAGGCCACCTAACAGACGATGCCCAGAATAGCCAAATGTATACAAAAGAGCGAACAATGCTACACCACCCACTGTATAAGTGTCCTCCGTCAGGCTCTTTTGTATGTGTTGAAATAGCTGAACTTTGGGCTTTCAGCAGAGGTGATTTATCTTGTGAGTTAAATTGGGGGCCTATATCAGCAGCCGCTCGGCTAGCCGAGGCTCCTAATTAATCTCCTAGGGGCCCCCGAGCAGACGCGGCGCTCACGGGATGATGATGTATGGAAGGAGCGCGGGTACGGCGGTGACGGAGGGTCACTGGTTTCTCCGCGTGCCGCCTCCTCCCTCATAGCCCCTCATAGCCCCTCATTCCCCACTCGTGTCTGTTAAATGATCTCAGACAAGCCGTCTGTTCCCTGACCTAAATATTTGTAAATAAACTGTAGTGGAGATTTCATACCTCTCAAACTCTATTAATTTAGCCGCAACATTATACCAAGAATATATAACTAGAACTTCTATCCTCAAAATCCAGGTCACGGATTCCTCCTCCCTGCGCCCGTTATTGTTCCTGTCTGATAGGCAACTTTGGACTTCAAATGGATTCAGCAAGAGAACATTCTTAAGCAAAAGAAAGGATAATTTATAGGCTGATTAGGGACATTTGACTATTTTCATAATTTCTTTGTGGTCCTTTCTGCTCAACTAAGAATGCCCCCTTTAAAAAGCCCACCGTTTTCTTTACCTGCTGTGCAGCTACAGCAGAACCTAAACACGCAAGGTCAGCATTAAACACGAGGAAGTTCAGAATAGCATCAGTTCCATAAAGGTGAAGATATGTCAATTATGAGCTTCTTTACTTTGTTAGCCCCTAGAATGTCTGAAATATTTTACAGTCAGCGTTGAAGACAATAGTAAGCATTTTTACGGTATTGCTTTCTTTAAATACCTCAATGTGTGCAGAGGGGAAGTATGTTTTCTTGCTGTTTATGAAGTGATTCTGCTGAACGTGTTGAAGACGGCTGATGAGTTCATGTTTATTCTCGAGCTGTGGCGTGAGCATGCGAGTTGGTGGACTAAGTGAATGGTTTACACACTGCGAGCTGCCCACAGCGTCTCTATTCGCACGCACACGGTTCCGAGCATTATCCAAGAAATCAACCAACGTTCTTGTTTTGAAGACGTTGTTTTTTTCTTTCATTATGTGACCCCAGGCAAACATCAGATCCATTGATGTTGACGCTGGGTGTGCAGGGACTAATGTTGTGATACAGTTGCTATTTAAAGGGAAGTGTACTCATTGAGACTTTAACAGCTAAGGAATATAATCTGTCGCATCATACAATGGGTTTTAGAGTTGGAATATCTTTCCTAGAATAACATTTCTCTATCTCTGAGCTTAAGAGCTGTTGGATCCTCTCCTCCACCCTGCCACGCTCCACCAGCTGCTTTGTGTTTTCCGCCTGCAGTGTGGATCTCGCTCCACAGCCATGTGTCTCCTTTGAGTAGAGTCTGAGACCCGGACACCGTATTAAAGACACACGTTTCAGGGGAGCACAGGGGAGAAAATGAACCTCCACCCTACATTTTTAGATGGTTTTTAACTGCTGCTAAAAACGTGACTTCCTCCTGCGATTGTTTTGCCTGTAAACGCTGACGGCAGCGCGCCGGAGCTGCCAGTCGAGGAGGAAGAGGTTTGTTTATTTGGTTTGAGCCGTGCGCTGTGGCCGGCGTAGTCACGGAGCGCGAGCATGATGTTCCTCCCGGTCATGAAAAATAATCCAAAACACGCTTTGGTGTTCGCTTGGGTTTTTTCACACGCACGAGATGCTTTTCTGCACATCAGGCCAGTTTGTTGTGACAAGTCAGCTGGGGCGACGTTAGCGGTCTCTATCGGGATGTTTCCACATGCAGGACGCGGCGGTGTTTTGATTCCCTTCCTCCGTCACGGTAGCTGTCCATCTGCTGTTCTCTCCGTGTTTACGCCGCTGAGTGGAGGGGGGCCGCCGGGGAACACACTGTTCCAACGGCTACACCTCCTGCATTTCAATTATCCGGCCTCACGCCTTCCACCGAAGGTGTGAGCGCGATTATCTTATTTCATATCAGACGTAAAGGCTGATACTAATTTCGAACTTCCAATCGCATTAATAGAAAATACAGGATTTAAAGCTGTAATGATGAATATTTTGTGATAATGCGAAAGCAAAAGGCCTCCCTGGAAGCAGATGACACTTTATAGTGATTATCGGAGAACTGACACCCAGCTACGCAGCTTCATGGAGCTTTTGTAAACCTCTTTAAGCCCTTTTTGTTCCACCTTTTTTTTTGTCTCTCTTGTTACGCTGTTGATGCAACAATATCTGACAAAAGTCAGATGAGCCTACTGTACTTTGAAAATCAGAAGATAGCTAGTGGACACTTGAATATCTACCAAGTTGAAGGCCCCAATATTTAGATTTAATGTGTTGCTCTCCTTGTGTGCAGGACCGGCCTGCATCAAGGTAGGGAATGTAAACTGAGAGAAGAGAGCGTGTTTTCCCGCATTTGCGAATATATTGACGCGTGTCCTGGCCAGTGTGCATGTAAGTGCTCAAATATGTGTGTTTGCCTACCTCCATGCATGTGAGTGCCGGGGTTAGAGCCCTCCATTAGGCTGTGTTTACAGTGCGGCGCGCCGGAGTCGCTGCCCGGCGCTCGCCGCGGCCTGGGATCATCAATCTGAAAGACTTCCGAAAGCTCCCACCTGTGATCGCTGCCGCCTGCCAGAGGGACCTAACGCAGGACTTCTGGGATCTTACGCTCCCCTGTTGTTGTAGCAGAGGGGGCAGCGTTCCTCAGATTCCTGACGTCTGAGGTGCTTGTGATTTCCCGTCTTTTGGTCACTGTCCTGTTGTTTTGGACTGAGAGTAGAGCTTAAAGGGGAATGTTGGGAAATCAGAGCTGCTATAAACCTAGATTATTTTCTTCAGGCATGTGAAAGAGTAACTTTGTTTTCAGAATCCTTGAACACACATGAACGTGCCGTATTGAACAGATTTCTCAGGACGGTGGTGAGAGGGGGATGGTGCCTCTTCCACTGTGCACTGGGTGGATGAGTAAGAATAAACTCTGCCGAAGGTTTGAATTGAACAATCATCTTACCTCAGGATCCCATTAAAATACTACACGGTTATGATAAAAATGTTTGATTGATGTCTCATCAGAAAATCAATATGTGTCAACATTTTTGAAATCATGAAATAGATAAAACAAGTATATAAAACAGTAATAATAAACAGTAACAGGTTGTCAGGTATTAAGACCTGTAATTTTATCATTACACTCTCACAAAAACAATGCTGGTATAACGTTTACCATAAAATTACATCAAAAAGTACATCTGAGGGCGAAGGAAACAGGTCTGGTCAGAGGGCCAAAGGTAAGAATAAGACCAATTCATATTTCGACCAGAGAAAGGCTGCCAATAAAAAAGGATAAACGATATTGGTAAAACGCATCCTGAGGGGAATGGCCAATCGAATGGAAAGTCCCCCAGGAAATCATGTGATATAAGGCTGTATTTTTCAATAGGAAAACGTCAATCTGCTGATGGCGCGACGAAGGCAGTGAGCTGAATCCTTCAGGGTGGCCATGACTGTCTATAGTCCTTGAAGCGTTTCAGTGAGGACCAGAATATCTCCAGAGCCACGCTGCTTTGGCTGACAAACAACAACTCAATTTTACCGTAGCCGAAAATAACTGTTGGATCTGGCTGTGCCGACCTCCACCAAACCTGCACATGGACGTCTTTGTGAAAGTAGGTTGCAGTGTCCCTCATGGTGGAACTTTTGCCTCAGCTAGAACGGCAAAGAGAGTTTGCTATTTTTATGATGGTGCAGAGCGGCGGCGTAATTGTCCCTCTGCTCCCTGGAGAGCTTTCAGGGAGACGAACGCTTCAGAAAAGTTACGTTTCCACGTCAAAGCCGGTGTAGCATTAGAGTACATTAGAACACAGTTGACTAGCGTTAGCACGTCTATGCTACGCTAGCTGCTGAAAGTATACTGTAATGTAATGTAATGTAAATACAGAACCAGTCAAAAGTTCGGACCTTCTTTCTCATTCAATTGAGTGAAAAAGTGTGTCCCAACCTTTGAGTGTTACTGTACATGGCAGTTTTTGCTTTATTGACTGTAATGGATGTGACCGCGAACAAAAATGTACAAACTGACTTTACAGGACAAAGGACAATATTGTACCTCAGATTCATTTCTATTTTTATTTAAATAAAAGGAATTATTTATTTATTTATTGAAAAGTTACATTACTGCTTACTTTTAAACTGTGATCTTTAGGCGTTGATTCAGTTCTATCAGTTTTATATCCCTCAATGTCCACTGTTCTCTGCCTGAAGGAGAAACAACGGGGGGCGGGGCTTAGTGTCACTTAACTTTTCCTGTGCAGAGTGTCGTAGACACAGTTCACCATAGTTGGTTCAATTCAATTCAATTTATTTAGTATAGCTTAAAACCCCAAATCTGCCTCAGAGTGCTTCACAATCTGTACAATCTGGACACTCACATCTAGACACTCACACCTGGACAGTGTGTCGAAGCGGAACAATTTTGCTTTCTTTTTCTTACCGAGCTGCACGAGAGACAGTGAGCAGAGGGGCTCAGGTTTAATTTGAACACATTCATTTGCCCTTTTTTCATTACGCCCCTCACACACGATGCCGGATGTCTGTCAGTATTTCAGGGGCCTAGGAAGACATTTTTTTCTCTTAGCGCCACTGTTATTCTGCTTGTTTCAGTGTTTGCAAGTGTGCTTTGTTATTGATTAAGGGGACAGGAATGTCACACAACATACGTTAGCCAGTTGCCAGGTTCAGCGTGTGAATATTATCATCCGCATCACATCCTCAGCCTCTCTGCAAACAGACAGCAAAAGCAGAGTGACTTCCTCCCGACACAGTTTTGAGTAATATGAAAATGAAGCAGCAGACTTGACTGTTGAGTGTCTGTCTATGTGGCAGAAGAGAAAGACCTCACCAGGGATGAGAAGAGAAACCAAAAGGAAGATAAAGGTCTCTGGGTAGAGCTTGTTTAGCCGCAGAGCCAGCCGAGGTCCGTCTGAGCAGCGCGGCTCTCTGATTGGTGGCGCGCGATGCAGCTCTCTCCCCTCCCCCCCTCAAGAAAGAGGTGCAGCAGGAACGTCAGACCCACACGGAGCCAGACTCAGCCACTGAAGCAGCGTCTCCTCAGATGCAGTGCACACAGCGTTTAGGGGCCGACTAGACGACTGCTCGCGGACTCGCTCTCCTTATCGCTGCGCGTGGCACTTCATCCACCAGACTAGATCTTGAGTTTGATTTTCAAGCCTTTTTGCAAACCGGTCGGCCCAGAGGAGGCAAAGCTGACGTCTAGGGCATTCAGTCCGATTCGCCGCATTGACAAGGACGGACGCCGGTCGCCATGGGCAGGCAGGGGCACGATACCTCTGCTGCGGTCCCCGGGATGCGTATCCAGCGCTCCCAGAGCAAGATGAGCCTCTCTGCATCGTTCGAAGCGCTGGCCGTGTATTTCCCCTGCATGAACTCCTTCGATGAGGAGGATGGAGGTAAGGTGACATCTGGGAAAGTGTTGCAGCAGCAGGATCGCGGCGGTTGGGGCGCAGTCGAAAACTGTGGGACAACGTTTAGTGGATTAGTCGGGGAGGTGCAGGGGTTTTAATTGTTTAGGGTATTTGGAGTTGGCAGATGACAGTGTGGTTTAATTAGGATGAGGACGTGATGCTCGGGGTGACATTGTGACTTGGAGGTGCGCCTGCATCTAATGAGATAATCGATTAATCATCTCTTGATTCGGTGTGCGAAGAACACACTTTGTCTGTTGTTGTTATTATTGCTGCCCCTGGTGGTGTTGACATGGATCAATATATCAACCAGTCTGACAAAGTATTCTAGTCACGTTAGTCATCATATCTCCTTTGCCCCTGATGATTCAAAATCTGTGAATGAAAACAAAGGCTGGTAGCCGGACTGAATCACTGCTTATTTCTTAGCGTAGGAGTACAGAACTGTGTTTTTATATATCGCCTCCTTTCCTATTTCAGTGTCTGGGGATTTATTTATAGACAAATATAGAAGAGCAGTTGTTTGCAATACAGAAGATTACTCTTCTGTACCTCTGCATTATTTTGCCTCGTCATACCGTCTTTTTTCAGCCACAGTTTCCCACACACACACACACACACACACACACACTCCTCTATTTGGCCACCAACTCTGCACGAGTCATTGTGTTTGTGGCTCAGATTTGAGGGCAAGTGAACCTCTGGTGATGAGCCAGTTTGTCTGACAATACAAAAGTGCTCGGCCAACACATTTTCTCCTGATAGTCTTAATAATGCTCCTCTACTGCTGCATTTAATGCAGTTGTCTCCATACTTTTGTCTGTAATGTAGATGCGAATGTGTGTATATGTAGGGAGTTTTTATACTATTTTAGCTGTTCTAAGCTGTACAGACGATGACGAATGTGTTTAAATAGGATGTGGGTCAATTATTTCTGCTTCCAAGCAGGAAACCGGATCTCTGTTGCTTGAAAACGGTGTGTTTTCAACGTCGATAACATCTGAAAGGCCCCTGATTGGCCGGCGTTTACCAGCTGCGTCTCGCTACAGACGTCAGAGACGACCTCTGTGCTCCTTCTGTGAGGTGCGGAGAGCAGGGAGAGGAGGCCGGGGTAACGGACATTTCAAGGCTGAAAGGCTTCATGGGGGTTTGTCCCCGTGTGAGAGATGGGACACGGGATCGACTTTCTGCTCTTCGGCTCTCGTCTGACAGGAGGGGAGAGAGAAGGGAGGACAGCGCAGTCGTCTCGATGGGATTCATGCACACAAACCGGGGAACGGCTGGGGAGGAACTTGCCTTAGGCTCGTTTGTCATGACTGTGAAGTAATGCTAAAGTCATGACTAGCTTCCTTTGACTAGCGGGAGGTGACACCGCGTCGCCATTTGATTGCCGGTAGGAAAAAAAGATTACATAACAATAATAGCTGAGGTGACATTGCGAGTTGCTTAGGATGATTAGTCTTTATCAGTCTTAGATGTCAGGTGTCGTATTGGATCAGTTATGATGTGGGGGTGGGGGGGGGGGGGTAACTGGAGCTTATTGGGTGAAGCACGGACTCACTACAGCTTCTGCAAGAACCCTGAAGAAAAACAGTAGCGCGGATGCTACGAGTGGTTTTTGTGTATTGTTTTCCCTCTAGAGCGATTTTCTATAAACTGATGAAGCGCAGGAATGTCGGTAGTAATCTGAGCGAGTGCAACTCGCTGTGTGACTCACAAAGAGATGCAACGCCCCGGATTGACAGTTTTCACCACTCTCCCTCCCTCCCTCCCTCCCTCCTTCCTTCCTTTCGCCTGTGTGTCGCTCTGAGTGCAAAAACGGGAGGAAAGAAGTTGCGCAAGGAAATCCATAGGAGCACGGAGACGGGGCTGGCGATGGAGATGAGGAGCAGGATGACCCGGCAGGCCAGCCGGGAGTACACGGACGGCAGCATGAACAGCTACAGCTCCGAGGGAAAGTAAGGAGACGCGCATTCCGCACCGTCCTCGTCCGCGATGCCAACATCTCCGTGGTAACCAGTGTCTTTTGTCTCTCTCCCAGTCTCATCTTCCCTGGGGTCAGGCTCTCCTCAGAAGCCCAGTTCAGCGACTTCCTGGATGGTCTTGGTCCCGCTCAGCTGGTGGGCCGACAGACGCTGGCTACCCCACCCATGGGTGAGAACAACAATCCTTCAATTCAAAACATTCATGCTACCTTGGGAAGATGGATGTTATTTTATACATAAACCTAACTTTTATGGATACGTTACATGCGGATAGCCAGTCAGAAGTGTGCTGAAAGTTCAGGTATTTTTTGTTTTTCAGGAGACATCCAGATCGGTATGGTGGACAAGAAAGGAGCACTGGAGGTGGAGATCATCCGAGCCCGTGGCCTTGTGGGGAAACCAGGTTCCAAGGCACTGCCAGGTAATCAAAGCTCTCACGCCTGTCATCACTGGCGATCACGCAGTCCTTGAAGTAAGCGTCGACCCCCATGATGATCGAGCTTGTTCTTACAAGGCTGTGGAATAAAGAATGGGAGGTTGTGCGTATTGTGACGTTCTCTGGGCTCCTCCCCCTGTCTTCTCAGCACCGTATGTTAAGGTCTACCTTTTGGAGAACGGGGTCTGCATAGCCAAAAAGAAGACAAAAGTAGCAAGAAAAACCTTGGACCCCCTTTACCAGCAGCAACTGCCGTTCGAGGAGAGTCCAGGAGGGAAGGTTTTACAGGTGGGAGAGAATGAACCTGCTCTCAATAAAACCACTTCATTTGTCGATGTTCCATCTCGTCTCATCCTTTTGATGCATCCCTTGTCTCTGCAGGTTATCGTTTGGGGCGACTATGGACGCATGGACCATAAATCCTTCATGGGAGCAGTTCAGATACTGTTAGATGAGTTGGACCTGTCCAACATGGTGATTGGCTGGTTTAAGCTCTTTCCTCCTTCCTCACTGGTGGACCCTACTCTGGCCCCACTGACAAGAAGAGCTTCCCAATCGTCGCTGGACAGTTTCTCTCGATCATAGCAGCGCGTGGACTGATAGCGTTGTTGTAGCAGCCAGTGTTGCGACTACGGGTCACGCCCCCCCCGGTTACACTGCATGCTTGATGTTGTGTCTTCTGAGCCTGTTTCTAGGGGTGCGAAACGTGACCCTGTGTTTTGAGCAAAAACGTTGCGCACATTGTGCACGTGGCGAGGAGCGTCGCGAGCGCCCGGCGGCCCGGGTGTTGTTTGGAGGAAGCTGGAATGAACTCCTTAGCACGAGGAACCCATCAGTTCCAGGTTTTCATCCAATTCGAAGCCATGGGGTTCAGTACTGGGGAACCGCTAAACGAGTTCTACGGAAGCCCTTTTCGAATGAGAAATGTATGTTTCTTTTTTCTTTTCTTTTAGTCCTTTTTCTGTTGTTGTTTTTTCTGTTTTTTTTTTTTTTTTAGAGTCAAATGTTCTTGTATCTGAAGGGGGTGACGGTGTTTCTAACCAGATGCTTGGTCACGCCACGCCAACCGACCTCGCTAAGCTGATGGAGTTTTGGAGAGCATCCCTTTGGGTGAGATGTGTCCCAGCTTGTGTCCACACTCCCCCACAGCCCAAAAGAATTACCCGGCATACTCCAGGTTTATGTACTGAATCAAACCGTACTGGAGAATCACCAGAAAGTTAATCCGAGGCAATGTTCAAGTGGTGACCACCAACACTCCAGAATGTGCTGTAACGATCCAAACCCCATTAAAAGATGTAAAATCTACCATCATTCTTTCTCTGTTGATATATTGTATGAAAATTAAATGAGAAAAAATATTTTTTTCCCTTTTTAGTTCCTTTGCATGGACACAAATTTAGCTGAATTTAAAAAAAATGAAAGAAAATTATTTTCTTGAGGCTGCAACTTGCATAGAAGATGAAAAATAAAACAGATCAGCCATTTTCAACGATTTATATTATTTTTAAAGATAAATTTCACTAGTGCATGGTTTTCAAGGGGAGTGAATGCAACATTGTGAATTAAAAAAAAGAAGACATTGTTTATCATTCTTTAGACCATTCATGAGTCTGTGTTTTGCAGACACGCCGATAAGGGAAACTTAAAGGAAACTTTGGAGCTATATAACAGATGTTTATGTGACAAAAAGTGATAATGAAAATAAATGTAAGTTATTTATTTCATAGTAAAAGGCTAATGCCTGATAAAGATAAACATTATGTGCAAATTGTACATGTTTCTCTTTTTCTTCCTTGTCCCAGGGTACTTCTTATTGTACTATCCATCGCTACCATTGTTCAGTCCCCTGATATTGTCCAGATTTTAGGACTGTTGGTTATTTTACAGTTCTGTATTCTTTCAGTATGTATTTTATTTGGGATTTGATTTGTTTAACAAGCATGTTGAAAAGGATTTTCTGCAACATGGCTTGGGCACACCTTACAGTAACAGCATGTTTTGATAAAGATGATATTTGGAATTTTTGCAGTTTCTTGTACAGTGCATGTCAACTTCATTACTTTTGTCCCTCACCTTAAATTGAACTCTACGAAAAATTAGTTCTTGGTCTCCCGTGGCCGATTATTGGAGTTTTAACAAAAACATTCCACCCCTATGGTCGTATTTTTTTTCAGGTTTTTGAGGAAAAAAAAGTGACAAGGAAAATATTTTATATTCGATGGAGGTTGACGAAACAGTTGTGATTGCAAGTGTATTTTGTTTCAGTATTGTTGACGAACATGCAAAAATAGTCTCTATTGGTACAGCAAGAGGTCTCCACCTAATCAAGAGGTAGCAAACGTGCAAGAGAGGTATGTTGCTGTGGTGGTTTTACAGGCACTGTTTGTGAAAATGAGCGAATCACCAGTTCAAATAACAAGGGATATTGCCACAGAAAATGTTTTTTCTTGTTTTAATGAAAATGAAATTAATTTATTTTTGTTAGTTTTATTTAAAAGCCAAGACCAGTTTATTTTTTATTTTCTATTTTTAGTAATTATGAAATACTTCTCATGTCTGGGAAGTACACAAATCTTATAGTTGCAGTATGTCTGAATGAAATTGAACTGAGGCATTATTCCTTTTCCATTTGACGATAGTGCGTTTTATTGTTGGAAAAAAACTCGTCTCAAGCTGTCACGCGCTATAATATATATTTTCATTTTCATTTTCGTTGTACATACCTTTACATGTCAGAATTGGAATAAACAAGTTACCATGAAGATCGATAGACTCGTTTGGAACAGGAAAAATGCCTCACATGATGACAAAGACATATGTTATTTATCCTTTTGAATGCCTTTTCATTTTCTCTTTTTGGTGCAATGTGTTAATGCCAAGGCTATGTCTTGGTTAAGTATGGTTGAGTACAGAGATTTATGTAAGTTATTTTTCAAATTAAAAATAAAAAAAATTGATATTACACTGATGCCAAGAGTTGGGTGCTGATTAGAGTGTCGCACAAAAAACAACGGTGACGTGCTTTCTGTAAAAAACTGCAAAACAAGTAGCCAGAAGTCTCATGGAAATCATGACTATTCATCAGTATGCGTCAAGGCCCAAGAACCCTGAATCCTACAATTCCCATCATGCAACATATGGCATATTTTATCCCTCTCCATAGTTTGTGATTCATAACAACTGCATGCGCAACACTTCCCAGAGTTGCGATCTATAGAAGCAAACTTGACGGGCGATTGTGCTCAACGGCACGGAGACTCTGACCCGAGCGTACGAGCACGGTGGAGACACAGTGAAGGTGTTGATACTTACTTGATACTCTGCTCAGTGCAGAGGGCCGACAGTATGATCATCATCTGTAAGACACCCTCAATAGAGCGTAAACACTATAACTGGACATATATCATGAGGTATATTGGTTTTCATATACTTTTAGTTGGTATAATTACTTTTTACTATAATTATCATTCATGGTTTGTATTCTGAAGTGACAGACAGCACACTGTACAGAGACAAATGGGGTCCGGGGGTCTCCATGGTCTCCAGTCACCTCACCGGGAAAATCTCCACCACCTGCTCATAAAGGTTGTGGAGATGATCTCAGTGCGGACTAATACTACAAAATAATAATACCAGAAGAAAATATAAGTAAATAAAATAAAGAATATTTCTATACGTCTTCTTATCTTGTTGTTTGTAGCAAATTACAAGGAGAGAATTGAGAAAATAGGCAACAGGATCTAATAGATCGTGGACTATTTTATCTATTCTAATGTTTTCTTTACTTCAGCCACTTTATTGTTTTGAACAAACTTTCTCAATCAAACTGGAACTTTGTGTATTACCTTCTGTAAAATGTTTTTGTTATTGAAAAGACATCCTTGTGATCAGTTTCCGGTGGGAATAATTTTCTTTCAACCATATTTTCTACATGGAACTGCTCACAACAATGTCTGTGGACATGTGAAAATAGACTGTTCACATGTTGAAATGTGTTTTGGGGGCGATTTGGGGCATATCGTTTTGGAGAGAGAACTAGAGATCAATTCCAGACAAACAAAAACAAGCAACTCACACCAACACTAAAAAGCCTTTTGTCTTTTAGCTCTGGTGAGAAATGTCCATTTATGGTGAAGCACAGGCCAGTTTCCCACACGCGCAGGATTCTGCCTCATATCAGCCCTCCGCTTGCTTCTGCTTTTGGTTAAAAAATAGGAATGAATGACGAATGACGACTGGCTGAGGTTTGAGGGGACGGGACGGTTCCTGTTTTAGCCGTACTTAAGGAGCTTACATACTACATGCATGAGAATAGACGTGGAGCTCAACACCACAGGTACGTACTTCATTACATTCGTGTTCATGCAGCATCTTCGCGTTCACGGTTTGAATTTTGTCTGAAAGTTCAACCATTTCGGTAAGCATTAGATGTCGTATATGTTCTGCAATCATCTGTTCATGTGGCCTGTTTTTATTGTAGTGAAGCTGTGGTACTCGAGTGTTGCCCCCACCCCTCGTCCCCTCACGTACAACCTTCCTCAATGTCCAGGAGGCTCTTCCCCTTGATTGCTCTAAAACGGAGCCTCGAGGATATCGGTTACCTGGCTGTGGATGTTTTCATTACCGGTAATAGGGATGGATTTCGAAGAACCCTCGTCCTCCTCCTCACATGTAGCTTCTCCGGCCTCCTCCTCAGCTCCTTACTGCTCCTCTACCTTCTCTTCAGCCTGAACTATGACCTGCCAGTGGCGGCGGGGATCGCCGCCTGCGTCGAGGCGCTACTGACGGTTGCCCTCTTCCTATCAAAGAGGGTACGGTGCCTGGCGGTTCTCTTCGTGATATCCATTTTCATGAAAAAGAGCCGGAACCTGCTGCTGACCGCTGGGACCAGTTTAGTGGTTCTGAGAAACATCCGCAACACCCTGGAAAACACCACGGCGCTGGTCCGGAGCATGATTTGCAACCTGAAGGCCAAGAAAGCGGCGGCGGTCGCTCCGTTCAGTAGCTACGTGGAGGTGTTGAAGTGGCTCGGCGAGGTGCTCAGGGGGGTCACGGACTTGGGGGTGGTGAACCTCAGCTCCCGCCTCAAGGTGTCCCCCAGACTGGAGTCAGACAAATTCCGGTGGAAACTGAGCGAAGCGGAGCAGAAGCTGAACGACACTGTGAGGCGCGCGCAGTCCCTGCTGAGCGCCGTCTCCTCCGTGACCGACAAGATGTTCCCCGCCGCGAGCTTCCTGCTGCTCGCGCTCTTCATAGCGCTGCACGTCAAAAGGTACCGCGGCGACGCCAGGTACCAAAACCGGTTCGTGAGCGGCAGGTTCGTGGGTTTCGACGGGAAGCGGAGGACGGAGGGGAAGCCCCACGTGCTGCCGCTCACGCAGCAGGAGGAGAAGCTGTACGCCGGCGCCGCCTCGGCCCGGCCCACCGCCGCAGAGGGCAGGGCGGCGCTGAAATTTGGCGTCCCAGTTGTTACCCATTTTGTGGCTTGGGTCATATTCATAACTATGGACGCCTTGTTGTACTGCTTTGTTGACATTGTAACGAGGAAGTTATCAGAGCTGGAGCCGCTCCATGTCCCGCTGCTCATGAGCATCACAGTAAGTGCGCTTGTCAAAGAACCTCTCATGGATTTGTTCCAGAAACTGAACATGAATTCATTTATCTCCTCAGGGGATTGCGACGTTAATGGGCATCCCGCTTGGCGAGGAAAGCCATCGGAAAGACTTCTCCTACTCTGTGACCCTGTTTGAGAAGAAATGCCTTCCTAAGCCCAAGCTGCTGCTCTACAAGTCCGTCGTTCCTCTGACTGGCATCCTGCTCGCCCTGTTCGTCATGGCTCTGATGGCTGCCAAAGTGGCCCGGCTCCGGCTGATGGTCTGCGAGCGATTCTTCCCCGGCGCCGCGCAGGAGAGGGTGGAGTACCTCCACGCCAAAATCCTCAGGAAGAGACGCAAGAAGAGGGAGGGGCGAGACACCTGCAGCCTCACATCGCTCTACTTGAAGGTATCGATTATTGCCTCCGCGGGGTAAGTTCGTACATCTCGTTGCGTGATGCTGAAGCGCGGTTTGTCGTCTCCTTTCAGCCACATTTCTGGTGCCCGCTGCTCTTCAGGCCCAAAGCGGATCCGCCAAGCGTCGTGTAAGGGGAGTTCTGCTTTTAGCTGCATGTTTTTTTTCTATTCTCTGATAAAAAAAAGAAGAAGAAGAAGAAGAAGGAGGACAACTTTGAACAACGGACTCCTCGTCCCCGATGATCCTGTTGTTCCAGCATTCTTTTAAAATGAACTTATACCGTATGAACAAAGTGACTGAACCCTACCAGTTTATGTCTAAGCTCTCTGGTCAAACGTCAGCGTTGCTCCTGCTACAGTCAGGCTGGAGACCAAATGCTACACGGTGCTGCACTGTTTGTAGATCTGATCAAAGCTTTTAAATATTGTTTAAAACTATAACATTCAGTAAAATAAGCTGCTTTCCATTATTTATTGATGATTGAAATCGTATATTCCAGGTTGAGACTGTTGTGTTTTAACTCAGGTCCCCGGGTAGTTGATAAATGTGTTCCACGAGGATCAATAACAGGCCGTCTGCTATTTATTAATGTTATTTATCTTCCAAGTGACCATTGAAATGTTTTAATTTATAAAAATGAATGCTCGCTCCAAACTCAAGAGCATCAAGTTTGATGTTAAGACTCTGATCTAGTGGAAGTCTAACAGACACAGTGATGCAATCCATCGTAGTACATGTAATGGATTATGGAGGTATACGGTTTTCACATTGAACAATCAGATCCTCAGATCACGGAAAAGAATTGATTCTTAAGTACTGCTTGAACTAGGAACTAGTTGTTTAAATGATCTGGAAAAATAAGTGACGAACTGATATTCTGTGTGTGTAAATATATTTCTTTCAGATATCAATTTATGGCACATTAAAGTAATAAATGTGCTGCATCCTTGACTGTGTCCTTGTTATTCAGCTGAGTGACTTACCTCATTAGACATAACAGGCCCCATGTGCAAATTGGCAATACTTGTTACCATGTAGAATTGTTAACAGACGCCTCATATAAACATTAACAATCGCCACCCAATTACAAACCATCAACCAATTCAAACCAGAAGAGCACCCGGCAACTAGAACAGTACATTTATGGACGTTACATTATGTTCATTATGTAACATGCGGATGACATTATTCTGTGATGAATATATCTCTACGTGATCGTCAAGATGACCAAACAGCCAAATTAACAATGACTTTTGTTTAATAACCATGGAGTTGTGACGGTATCAGTAAATCCTGTTATTCGTGACTTCTCTACACCGTCTGTCTAACATGACCGAGGAAGCAAAAGAAAATACAAAACAGTGTCAGGCTTCTATATTTCACCTCATGTTTAATTCTCCCCTGCAGAGAATAGGACGGTAATATTTGCTTACATAATCTAAGACAGATGCCTCCTACGTGTGCAGGAACAGCTCCGTCCTCCTTCCACTGTCGCTGCTCATTAACATCTCGCTGCTACACATTTCTCCTTCCAATTCTTCTGAAATAACTTGTTCAACCATTCTTTATAAGTGTATTTTAGTTGTCTCAGATATGGAAGAACATTCCATGTTATTTTATTTAAATCAGCGGTGGACATTGGACAAAATGAATAGTTTGTAAAAGTTTATATTGCAGTTTTCTGACATTGTTGTGTAGGAGGAACCTTCTCAGGATGCACCAGGACAAATTAGTCTTTATTTGCATGTGTTCCTGCATTGTTTCTGCTGTTATTGTGTTTGGCATTAAAGTAGCTTCTACAAGCAGCTGTGTCAGCTTATTGTGAATGTGTTCAGACCAGTCAGGAGCGCGCTTAGTAAAACAGGAACAGCATCACAACTAATAATCGGGATAAAAGCCCGATGAGCATTTGTGGATTCCATAGTGCCAGAGACGGCTGATTATACAACAATATAAATACACAATAGAACATTCTCACATGTGGCCTCATTTTAATTTTAAAAAGGAAAGGCAAATACCTATTCCGGCTTAAGTTAACACCTTCTTTCATTCACGAGAAGAATTATGTTGATTTAATTTAGATTTAGTTTATCGCGTACATTTAAAAAAAGTCAAATCAACATGAAAATGAATCATGTATTTGCTCTGGTTATTTACATTTTAAAATGCAGTGAGGAACACTTGGTGATACTCCACTGTGCAGCCCTCCCGCCGGCCCGGGCCGGAGGGGGGAAGCGGTGCAGCTCCGGTAGGGGGGCGTGGCCTCCTGTGACTCACACGCTGCCACTGACCCGTGTGGCTACGTGATGAGCTCACATTATGTCTCAACTGGACCTGTGGCCAAAAACCACGGCGGCACGCCAGCCCGATAGGAAGCCGCGCCGTGATGCTCGGTGACGGCCGCAGACGTTCTTTTGTTGTCCCGTGGGAAGCAACGCGGAGCTGCAGCGCACGTCATCACGTGCCATCCAACCGAGCACGCGGGTACAGAGGGGATCTGGGTCAGCGTTGTAAATTCTTCATCAAAGGAAAAGATGTTTTGGGGTTACCAATGGCAACGATCGTGAAGGCAGATGGGAGAACAGAAACCCAGTAAAAGATCAATTTACACACATTTACAACTAAGATAGTATTTTTTATTATTTTATAACAAGTTATGCACAAACTTTTAAGGGATGAAAGATTCTCTTTTCAAATCAAACACACACATTTTAGACATGAAATCATGCATAAGCCCTATTTTCCTTCCTTGCATTGAATTACTTAATGCGTAATGTATTTTCATGCACACACAGCAGCACAGCTGACCACCAAATCTCACAGTGGAACAAATTTAACGGAGGTGTTGTCTGCCAACAGAACATTGACCTTAATGTTGACGCCGCCGCCTTTACTGCACTGAATAATGTACGTCTTTCATGTTCTGGGCCAGATGTTCATACAGAAATGACTTTGCCTTCATAGGGCTTTCTCTCCACAGCGGTCGGTTTCCCCACCTGCAGGCCAAACACAAGGAAGGGAGAGAGAAACGTTAAGAGACCTTTGTGTACAATTTGCTGCTTTAAATTCAACATACATCTGAATTCCATTGAACCCTCTGAAACACGTTTCACACATAAGCGGTTTTTCATGTTTCATTGATGCTCACATAATGAACGAGAGATGATGAATACACAGTGTGAGTAAATATATGTGTCCCAGGACCAGCTGCTTTTAGTACCCGTCTCTAAACTTAGTAGTTCCTGTTGTAAAGTTTCATGACTCACTTTCAGCGGCAGCCTCAAGTGGCCACTTGTGGCTCATTTGTTCATTTGCCACTCGGGCCGAGCGGAACCACGTTGTAAACACTGAGATACCGTGAACTTGTATGTACACATCCAGCAGACGCGTCGTGGGGGATTGACTGACCTGATCCCTTTGCCTGATTCTCTTGTACACATACTCAGAGAAGGGCTTCCTGTGGATGAATCGTCCGTGTCCCGCAGGCACCGTCAGCCGTCCCTCCTCATAGACCACTTTGCCCCTCGAGATGGTGACGACGGGGACGCCGTGGCACTCCATGCCCTCGAAGATGTTGTAGTCCACGGCCTGGTGGTGGGTCTTAGCTGATATCCTCCTGCCGAAACACAAAGGTACACAAAGAACTACATTTCAATTTGAAATTCTAAATGTCTTTATCACATGCAAACGCGTTCCGCATTCTGGTCTAGTGCGTCACTCACTTTGCAGCCGCATTGTGGTGACCCACAAGTAACGCTGGAGAGACATTCACTAGGGGACTGTACCTTTAAGGAAAAGTATTTTGATGTGAGGTTAACGTGCTGTCTGCAGTAGTTCTCACATGTCGTTCTGAGTGTTGAAGTGGAGAGTAAAGTTGACTCGCTGACACGCATCTCCGTCTCCTGTCTCGTCACTTTACACCCTCCACAGCATCATATTTACATATTTAAAACTTCTCCTCCTGCGATGTGCTCGTCTTAAAAGGATGGAATGTTGGAAAGGATTTGAAATTTAGCATGGCACAAATTACATTTTAAAAGGTATACACAGTATACATGTGCAAATGATTTATCTGCTAGCACTCATGGTTAATGTATTAAAGATTAATGTTTAACTCATAATTTCACAATTTAACTGGAACCAGCAGCTATGATCCCTCAGTGAGCCGTGTAACCACCATGAATGCAACCAAATACAGCGTTTTGTGTCATCGTGCCGCTTTGAAAAAGGGTGCAGTACTATTTGAAAGTTTGGAAACGTTTTCTCATGTACTTTTTTTTCCTGCTGCTGCCGTCATGCACAAATCATAATCAGAAGCGCGGAGTGAACCAAAACTGTGACGCAAATTCTCTGTGTTCATCACTGAAGCCCCTTTAACACACAACTTCCACGTTTTAATAATTCCAGAGTCCAGAAGCTTCCGCCAGTGAAAGCAGTTAGTAATAGTGGTAGTAACTTAGGGTGGTGAAATGGCCTTCTGGGAAATAATAAATCTCTCACACAAATTAAAGCGCTTCCTATTAAAATAATCTGAACCGTACGGATTGATGACGTCCGACAAATAAATCAGGTCTAAATGAAAAGACTAAATCAGCGGGGAGCAGAGAAGTGACTCAGCCACTTCCATGAGAAATGAGAGCGCTCCTCCCCTGATTCATGCATTTCCCCCGCTGGTTGGCGGAGGCAGACACCACGCCCAGTGTGCACTGACCAAAGCAAGATGGGTCCTCATTATCCAAGTCATGAGACAAACAAGGCAATCGACTTCTAAGGCAGTCGGGCCCGAGATGATGGAGGGAACGGTGAGCTCCTCCTCAGCAGGGGGCCGTGATGGTCGCACACAGAATGAATCCATTCACTGGAAAAGTACGCCAGTATGTGATGCGTACGCCAGTATGTGATGCGTACACCAGTATGTGATGCGTACACCAGTATGTGATGCGTAAACCAGTATGTGATGCGTACACCAGTATGTGATGTGTACATCAGCGGGTTGTGACGCCCCTGAGGGGGCTGAGCCACGGCTCTGCAGCACACAGAGCGGCACCATTCTGGTTTATATAAGCTATTGGAACAGTCCTCCGTAGCATCAGTGCGTGACATGCTCCTTGAGACGGCACGCTGTCTTCTGCTTCATATCGGGGTGTAAAAATAGGAAAAAGGAAAAGAAACAAACACATGATCCTTCTTTCTACGCAGCCGTGTGATATTCTGAGCCGGTGACTGAAAATAGCTTTCATTCTGCATGTTCTCCGCGAAGAGAAACGGGTTCAGCTCCCACGTGAAATATTCGTCATCTTTAAGATCCGTACCGTGACCCATCGGCGTCCCACTGAGGCTGAAGCAAGTGTTAAAATCCTTCCAAAAACAGAAAATCTACCAAACCTGGAAAAGAATCAATCATTCCGTAAAGGTTGTGATTCATATGCAGATTGTGTCGCGTCTGTAGATAAGTGACTCCTGCACAGAGCAACAATCGGCTTACGTGGTGTGTTTGTGTGCGTTTGTGTGTGTGGAGGTGGTGCAAGATAAAACATACATCGTTTCCCTTTTTAGCTGCCTGCGTCTGCAGCGTGCACGCTTCACCGCTAAACGTCACGAACTGTATCTTATTTGACCCAATGCTTGACACCGTGGAGACGCGGTTCCAACAATGTGTCACCGGCACTCTGCACGTGCAGGAGTCACTGACAGCACTGAAAGGAAGGTCTCACTTCAGACTGATCCGTCTTAAAAGCCGGCTGGGAGTCGGGGGCCTCACCGGGTCATCTTTGGGTCCCATATAACCACGTCGGCATCAGAGTTCCTGGCGATGCGGCCTTTCTGCGGGTAGAAGTTGAAGATTTTGGCCGCGTTGCTGCTGGTGACGGCTACAAATCGATTCTCATCCATTTTTCCGCTGTGCTGAGGGGAGCAAACGCACAGAGGAGCCGGCCGGAGTTGAAGGGGCCACACGGTGGATGACGGGAAAATACTGAATTAGCAGACAAAAGGTCAGTGCTGAACTGCAGCAGCAAGCAACTTGTTCCTGCCAAAATATCATCTACTGTGTGATGTGCCAGCGCTGTGGAATGTGGTAAATCTTCCCATCGGCCTCTGCAGTTCTGAGAGCTTACTGTAAGAAAAACTGAAATACGTGATGTTTCCACTCAAATAAATTGAGATAATTGTTAAAAGAGTGTATATTCATAGCCAAACAGCCAAAGTGAAAGTGCACAATAAAGGTAAAAAGCTGCTGAACAAGGTCAGAATGAAGGCGTTGAAATCACACACCACTCCTTTCTCCCAGATCACAGACATCCTGTCCTCCACGCCGTTCACTCCGTTGGGGATCTTGGTGAAGTTGTCTTTGCCGAGGGCCTTCTGGCACACGGAGAAGGTGCAGTTGTCCGTCCCGGTCAAACTGAGATCGTCGCTAGCCAATTATCGGTGAATGAATAATGAATGATTAGAAAATACAGAACAAGTGGACGACCCCGTTTGTGTGAATTGGATCTTGTTCTTTGTCAGCTTCCCCCTCCTGTACTCAAGGCTGAACGTTCATGCAAAGTCCCAAAGCGCACTAATCTGTGATGACACTGCAGACGGGTCCACCTACTTGGCCAGTAGGTCCATGAGGTACCCCGGGGTGCTGGGGTCAGGTCGGAGGGGGGGGCCCATGACGAAGCCAGCAGCATGGGCCCAGTCTTTGTGCCAGCAGTGAGTGCCGTCGGTGCCCAGTGCGGCTGCGATGGGCTCCCCGAACACCACGCGCCCTGTGGACAGACAGACAAGCTGAGGAGGACCAAAGGTCAGTTCGCTTGTGAACAAATGGCGTTTCCCATTTGGATGCATCAGAAGCTTTTCCACAGTTTCCACAACAAAGACATTATATTTCTATAGCAAATATGAGCACTGACCCAATCAACATTTACGTATTTCAACAACAGGGGGCAGCAAATCGCACGCTCACCATCTCTGCGAGCATTGGACACCACCTTGGCGGCAGACTTGCTCATGACATGGACCACATAGAGCGGGCAGTTGACGGCGTGAGCGATGGTGATGGCGCGCTGGGTGGCCTCGGCCTCCACCTCCTCCGGCCGACACAGCTCGTGGCCCTCTGGCCCCGTGATGCCCAGAGACAGCATCTTCTTCGCCCCCTGCCGAGTGCCAGCGGGGACGGAGACAACAAGGCAGCGGGAAGGTTATTGGAGACGCTGTAGGGAGCCAACTGATGGAGGAGCATGTGGAAACGTGAACCAACAACTCTGTTCCCAACGATGTATATGTATAGATTATAATGATTGCAAAATAAGTTACAATACTTTGTCCCTTTTCTTCTGACCTCTTTAAAAAAACAATATGTCAAGAGGTACTAAATCGCAGATTTGGTGAAAGTGCCCAATGATGGAAATGACAACGGGAATATTTCATATTTCACTGTGTGCTATGGATGACTGGAATGGAAAATACTGCAGAAATAAAACAATTAAAAAAATCGAAACATCCATCCGTCATTGAGAGGAGCTGATCTTCACTAAAGGAACCGCCGAGACCAGTAACAGCTGTGGAGAATATCAAAAGCCACTTCATTTCACCACGTTTTACAGCTGCAGAACCCCGACAGAAGTAGCGTAAGATTTGGTAGAATTCTGAAATATATCATCTTTTAAGATAATGGTCATATGAGATCCCATAAGTTCATGTGCTCTCAAGAACGGATCATTTGGGTTAACAACATAGATTGAGCTTACTACACCTTGAAATCATGGTCACAAGTTTCCCTCTTTAGGATTTGCTGCCTCCTAGTGGTGAGTTGCCGTGATGACAATCGAGGGGAAGAAAAGACCCTGAAGCAGTTGTAAATGGACCTTTTAATTACACTGGTGCTTTACTAGAGATATCAGAGAAAAATACCTATTCATGGGACGGTCCTTTTCTGCAACGGCACGAGGACGGGGCAGCAGTTGCTTTTAGTGTTACATCACATTGGTCTCAAGTGGACCTTGAACCACGTGGGGGGACATGCAGGTAATACTAAGTCAACATGTCCTTTCATCAATCAATGTTCTACTACCATTACTGCCTCAGCGTCTGTTCTTCCCCCTTAGCCCCTTAAACCATGAGCCATCATTGTTTAAGCCTGTGGTGTGTTTGAGCACAAACCTCTGCAATCAGGTCTCCGTTCTCGGCGTGCACCTGGGCTATGGCTCCGGCCTCCTTACAGTGGGAGAAGGCGGCGTACAGCTCGGAGTCCTTCAGCATGAACACGTCTTTGTAGGCCATGAACATCTTAAAGGAATTGACGCCCTTCTCTTCAGCGAGCGTCTGCATCTCTTTTTTGACCTGGAGAAGAAAAGGGTTGAAGGAATAGCTCTGAGTAGCATTGATTCTATGTCTACAGTTGATACACCTGGTGCAATGTCATTTTCGGATCTCTGGTGGTATTTTTGGCAGCTTATTCACCTGGTCGCTCCACCATGTGACGGCGACATGCAGCGAGTAGTCGCAGCAAACTTTGGGATCAGCTTTGCTCCGCCAGCAGTCGTAGGCCTCCAGGAGAGACTTGCCCTTTTCGGGGATGACAAAGTCCAGGATCATCGTTGTCCCTCCTGCCAGGGCCGCCTGGGGAAACAGGCGCATTCAAAACAAGAATGCCAGTTTACAGATTAACATTCAGTAACGCTTGAAGAAGCTTAGGCGTTGATTAAGAATGCACGCCGTTATGAGGAATGTAGCATGTCCACTCAGCGCCGGGGGGGAATATGCTGCTACTATGAATATGATTGTCACACTACTAATGCAAAGTGGACACAAAGTGTTGAATGAGTTGATGTATTATGAGTCAGTTGTTTAGCAGCCTGATAAACTTCATAGCGTAAGAAAAGAAACTTAAGGGAACTTAATACTGAAGTTAATCAAAAATAGTTTTCTGCACCTTTTAGATTTGTATGTGTACACCTTCTCCTCGATTGCAACAAAACAAGAAAGTTAAGTTCAAGTTTAAAATACAATTGTGGGCACAGCTTTCAAAATAAAACACCGACTTGCAAATCAAATGTGAATACAGCAAAAATGGAATCTGATTTTGCATAAGCTCCTTTGAACTACGCCAAACAATTAGAAATAGGTGCAATTAGAACGCCCAAGGCGATAAATAGATCCTATACCTGTGGTGAATTAGTCTACATGTACGTCATCCAGGTTTTTCCCACAGTCAAAACAAATTGGAAACGTTCTGAGGTAGTGAGATTTTTGTGTTATGTGTTACTACATTTACTTGATGACTTTAGTGACGATGTGGTATCAATTAGCAGATTCAGATTGCCAAAACTAAATATAACAAACACAAATCAAGTAAGACAAAGAAGAGACTTATTGAATTCCTGGTCAGTCCCTCACAATCTACCCATCGGTGTATTAAGTTACCAGCTACAACACTCGAGCGATGAACTCATGTGATCAATATTATAATATTCATTATCCTCAAATAGGTTGTATTGGCAATGCTTCTTTTTTACGTTTGGAATATTTTGACAGCTGAAAAATATTGCTACTATTTGTAAGGTGAATTTTAAAAAGTGTAAAACGAATAAATCAATTATAAGAAATAAAACGAAACGGTAGCGCATTATTGTGAAGGCCGCGCGGCTCGACTTCCGGCACCACGTGTCTCTTCTCAGCGCTCTGACGGTAAAGTGGACCCCACCTTGGTTCCGATGTAAAAGTCGTCCACGGCCCTGGTGCCCATGAACTCCAGCTCCATGTGCGTGTGCGTGTCGATGCCGCCCGGCATCACCAGCTTGTCGGTGGCGTCGATGACGCGCGCGCCGCCGGGGATCCGGAGGTCCAGCCCGACCTCGACGATCTTCCCGTTCTCCATGTAGACGTCGGAGATCACGGAGCAGTCGTCGTTCACCACTTGGCCCCCTTTTATCAAGATCCCGCTGGGCTCGGACATCCCGCTGAGAGAGACACAGAGACAGAGAGACAGAGAGACACAGAGACACACAGAGACACACAGAGAGTGTATGAAAACTGAACTGAGATCTGTGTGTGCAGCATGTAGGTCAGTTCCAAAGTTCATGTGCACATTTGCTTTTATCCGCCCTTGTCCTTATGAAACACAACATCTGTACAGCTGGTTCTGAATCGATCAGGGGTTTGTATGTGTAACATTTATATCATAATGAATGGCCTTAAAATAGACTTGGAGGCACATTTATAAGTGACAATGTAATCATAGTTCAATATTTTTCACTTGTACAAATACAGGTGTAATAGGGCTGTCCTAAAAGCCTTAAATCGGATATCCTTTGATGAGCACATTAGAATACTCATGTGAATTAATTTAGATTTCTGTATTTGGTTTACTACTAAAATAGAGAACACATTCTGAAAGTATGTAAAATAATGAATAATAATAGGACTTAATAGGACTCATGCGTTTGGGTTTTCAACTGAAGAAATATGTACTTAAAAAATAAAAGAATGAAATCTATAAAATAATATATGTATACACAAAGAAAATGTGTAAACTATCTTTTCTGATAATTGGAAAAGCACAAAGCCACAATACGCTGCACGCAGATGTACTTGGTTCTTCGTGTGCATGCAGCATCACGGCATCTTCTGGCATTTTTTGCTTCAGTGAGTCGGGTCCAGTGGTTTCCAGAACCAAACTGGATCTCAAGGGGGCCTTGGAGACTGCTCTGCACCTCAAAGGAGGTGGGGTGGCACTTGGTCTTTCTCTTGCACGTGTACGGATGGAATCTGCATTTAGGAGCTACAGATGCCTTGAAGTGCAGGAGATCCATCTGTTCCATTGGTAGAGGTACTAGGCCTTCACAGTGGTGATGTCCAAGAAGTAGAAGAACACTCTGATGTCGTTTTTGCATCGGTGAGGATACATTGAGACACATGAAATCCTCTCATATGCTGATTATCACAGCTTCACAGGAAATGGCCTTTCGGTGTTGAGCATCTTCTTTTTCTTTCTTGCTCCATCTCAGGGCCAAAAACACCTTGGGTTTCTTTTGCTGTATGTCGTCACACAGGCGCATAACTACGTCAGTGATGCATGATGTCCAATGCAGTGGACAGATAATTAATCATAATTTCCTCCCAATATAAATTCAATACAATTAATATTTGTGACTTATATGATTCCTTAGATGTTAGTTGAGTCACCAACATTTTTATACCAACAAGGATCTCTTTGAATTGGAGGATTTGCAAGGTATTGATGAAATGTATCTTGCACTTACGACTGCTTGCCACTGGGTGGCAGTGCGTGGGAGGATGCAATAGGGTTCACTGCAGTGGCTTATGTGTAACTATGCCATAATAACCCATGCAAATACAAGAAAACAACATTTGAAATGCTGTCCACTGTAGTGACCTGTACGCATGAAAGGGTTGCACCTTGCAGGGAAATAAACACTTCATATGTTTCCGCTGTGACTTAAAGAAGCTTAAAGACTTTACATTTCCTTGAGTCCCCATGTGGTATCTCTTCTGCTCTTGGGGAGAAAACGCAGGAATGTCCACACAGCTGATGTTCTTAGCATGCAGATGGTGTATGGCTGCTTGGATGAAAACCTCACGCAAGTATTAAAGTATTCAGTTTTGTGTGAGTTTATAATCAGGAGGTTGTGGGACATTAAACCAGCTCAGTGTACCTCTCTCATATGAATAGACACAGATGGACCTCCATGCAGGGCTGTGGTATTTACACAGCATTAGTTTTAGACCGCAGAGCAAAGATCTTAGACACTTGGTACTACTGTGCCCCTGACCTTTGACCTCTAACAGAGCCACGAACTGTATGTATCATTTTATGTATAACCAGACAATTTACAATCTTGGTAAAAAAAAAAACGTACTCTTAAGTGCGTTTTATATCTGACAGAGACGTTGGGCTCTGAAATGTTTCGCGGCTCAGCGCCTCACCAGTTCACCAAAGATACCGATACGATGTAGCAGGAGAGAAATATAAATATGTCAAATGCAGCCTGGCAAAAAAGCCAGAATGCCCAACTACAGTGAACTAGTACTCACACTTTAATACTTCTTTGAGGTTTTCTCCCAAGCAGCCATCTGCATGCTAAGGACCTCAGCTGTGTCCTTTATAGTCATTTCTACAATAATGTCTCAGTTATTACTGCTACTACTGCTGTTACTACTCATTACAGGTACCGTTTCTGTGTTGTAATTGTATCATGTTGTTCTTTCTGCACACAAGCACCATCTATTGAACTCCTGCCCATCCTGGGGGAGCTTTTTGGTTCTTCCTCTATTCCCCTATAGCTTTTTTTCAGGGAAACGTTTCCATATCTGATGCCAGGATCCAAGGACAGAGAATGTCCTATGTACAGATTGTGAAGCCCTCTGAGGGCTTGGAAATAGAAATAATGGAGGGAACTCTCACTATAACACACTACATTTATGGCGAGTTAGTGATCAGCCCGCTTAATGAACATATAGCATTTTAAAGATATAAGCTTTTGAAAGCTTACTGACTATCGGTACCAGTATCCTTATCATACACATTCCAAAAACAATTGCAGTCCAAACTGACCTCAGGTCTGTTTACTGGACCTGATCAGCGCATGTTCTTTTCACTGGGAGGAAGTGAATTCAACGGTTACATCAGAACCACTGTGATGCCAGTTTACATGGACGTTTGGTGTCTCATAGAAGGTTTTGTCCTTCTATGAGACACCCTTGAGTCCTCGAGGTTTTGGCCATAATCAAAGAATTCATGTACTAATTATGACAATTTTAAACAAATGTTCATGTTCATAATAATGAGGTGGAGAGACTCACAGCTGTTACTGTCACTGAAACCAGGCGTGTCACCTCAGTTATGCAGTCTTTCTTTTGTTATGGCAAGTAGATTTTGTTTCATCTCTACTTTCTTTGACGATATCACCCTTTGACATCATGTCAGACATACTAATAAAATAAATAATGGCGAACCTCCCTCCAAAAGGCCCGTCACTCCATACGGAGCTGTCACATTTCTTCACACATCCATGTGTCATCCACGGTCATCATTCAGAAAACCTGTGACGACAACAGTTCAGATTCACACACAGAGGCTGATTAGTCAAAAACACGCGACTGCATGTCTATGAATTGTCGGTATTCACTGTAAAAAAAAACAGAAAGAAAATCCCCAAATTCAGCAGGCTTCTGATAATGCTGTGATATCCCTGGAGCATGCAACTGGCTCTCTTTCATGAAGAGTTGTTAGCCACTGGGAGAGATTAGCATTTCACTGCAGTGGATTGGTTGTCAGCGCCGCATCAGTCCAGACAACTTTTCTCATCCATTAGTGTATTACGGGAACAAGACGCATTGGAGAGACAAAGATGCATGCGCTGGTGAGATAAGCGCGCGCACAGGGCTTAGGAACACCTAACCTTCACAGTTGCAATAAACAATAACATGTGACTTAAGAGGATTTACATAAGATGAGAGGAGTAATCAGAGGGAGTGAAAAAAACCAATGAGGCAGCAATGGCATCTCCTCCCAAGTCTCTGTGCCGGCGAATGAGTAAAGTTGCCATTCCGCTGGATTTAGACGGAGGCTCTTATCATTTTCATTTCCTCAACCTGCATTACAAACCAACACAGATGTCAGTTTCTCTCTCGACTGCATTCAAATCCTGCGAGCGCTGCTCCCGAGCGTTGACAAGGTAAAACTCTGGCATTAGAAGGGCACAGTGTGCACAGAAAGTGACATAAGATAATGCTCAGTCAGATTATCAGCGCTCGGGCACAAAGAGGCTTGTTTGCCGTGCTTGTGCTTAAACTTCACACGTCACACATCACGCTGCGGCTACAGCGAAATGTGTGTTAGAGATACAACTAATCTGTGAAAGGGGGAAAAAGGGCAGATTATAAACCTGTCGTTTTGGCATTTCTATGGCTGGTTTCAGTTGTTAAGTGGAGGGTTTTGTGTGAAATCTAATGTTTGTCCTCTTTTTATTCTCTTATCTTGTTCGATTTACTTTTAAATCCAATAGCGCTGCAGACTCGCCTGTCTTGTGTTTCTGTCGTGCACTATTTTCATTTGAATCAAACTGGATGAGAGACGTGAGGGACACACTGTAAGAGGAATTTCAAAGGGGTAGGATGAGCTGAGAAAACCAGATAAGCAACAACCGGCCTGCTGGTCGCATCCCAAAGACCTGAACGTCAACAGGCCCACGGGGGTCAAGAGGACAGGATAGTCCCCTGTCCCCGCAGAGGGACGTTCGGCACAGACCCCCTCCTCCTCCCACCCAGACCCCAACGTATGTGATCTTTCCCAGCATGCACTACGAGGGACTACAGGCTCCGGAGAGCAGTTCATCCACAGGGCGCAACACGCCGAGGAGCAACTCACTCACCCGCGTGAACGTGTTACGACAGTTTCCCAACATCCGTTTAGCCGACGCGTACAGCAAGCTGTTCCCGTTAAAGGTTTGGTGCACAGTGCAGTTCATTCGTTGCATCACTTTAAATTCCAACAGCCTCGTGTTCTGCGGTGTGTGTGAGTGTGTGTGCGCGTGTGTGTAGCCACTGGATTCTTACCGGCTTTCCTATTAGATTTTTTCTCTCAATTTAATTTGAATATAATTATATTTGTTGATCCTTTTATCCTGGTGTTTGTCTTAGTAGCACATGTTAAGTACGTTACGTGTGAGCCAATGATTCGGGGCCTGATGGTGAATATTCGTGCACCCAAACGACGGGCTCAGGATTGCATTACCACTAATTGCAGCCCAGATGGCAGTGTTCTCCTCGGGTTGGGATGTAAATGTGATCCGTGCTTCGGTCTGCTCAAACGTTTGTAGTGCACAGAGCAGAGAATGAAACCATATTTACCGTTATGTGAATGTTGGTATGTAGAAATAAAGACCGTTGTAAGATTTTCTTGAATTTTCTTGTAAGATCCAATATGTTGATATATGTTTAAGGGAGATTAAGGGAATTAAATGTTTGTGGGATCATTTTGGAACATATGGTTATTGTTCTGGATATCAGATTTTAATGTAATAACTGTGAGCAGAGAG